GTATAATTATGTACTAGATAAATTCGTTAAATCATTAATTGGTATACTCATTATATTTGAGGCAGAAGGTACTTAGGGAAAGATAATGAATTGTCTGCTTTAGTACGTATTTCATTTGTAGGGAATAATTTATGCGAATTTATTTCGGATAATGCTTTTATCTAAACACTATTTTAAACTATTTCCTTTACTTGAAATACTCTTTCCTTATTTATTGGAAAACTCTGGTGATTAATTTTGGTAATTAAGAGTCAAAACAAGACATATAGCATTTATACGTAACAAATTCAGCTTAAAAATTACGAATATTTAATAAAGCAAAAGTTTTTGAAATTACGTCAAATGAATTTGCAAGCATTTCTTCAAACACAGAAAAGTACCAAAAATAATTTCAGAAAACTACAATATGTATCGCAGGCTGATTAAGCCTGAATGGTTATAATTGTATTAAAACGCTGTTAACAGGACTGATACAAATGTCCATAATTACGAAACTTGCATAGAGACTTTTAAAACAATATCTGAAAGTATTGAGATTCTAACGTTGCACCATTAAGTTTACCATAGAGTTTGTTAAGAGTTTTGAAGCTCTCGCGAAAATCACATTTCATCTATCTATCTGCTTTTGGACTAGACTAAACGTTTGCTAACATAACGTTCATAATCTTTAAACTTCGTTATCAAGCATCGCTTTCTTTGCTCTTACAACACATAATATTCAACCGTAAAATCATAAAATATTTAAAAGCAGCATTTTTAAAGAATTTTCAATAGAGTACTAAGTATTGCCACACAGTTTCCTAATTTTTCCTCAATCTATTTTCATATCATCATCTTGTCTTTTCATATCAATATTTTCTCATCATATAATTGCACAGCTTTATTAACAAAATGTCCTACACAACATTTTTCGTCTTTTTGACTTTATTATTAAACATAACTTTCTTCACACTTACATTAGATTCAACGGAGAATCACAAAAAATATATAAAAGTAGCTCATGTTTATTATTCCTGCTACAGTGTTGTTACCATTATTATTTTTACTACATTTATCACTTTCTTCTTGCTTAGCCATGTCCCATTCAACAACAGAATCACGGATATTTATAAACAGCATATGTTTAGAATTCCCAAAAAGTGCCCTGTTTTTTCTTTAAAATGATACATGGCAATCAGATTTGGTGGCAACATCAATCTTTTACCTGAACAGTGATATGGGCAAAAGAGGGAGAATTGAGATTATTTTATCAAATTAAAATTTTTCATACACTGATAAATAAAACTTTGTGCATTTATGAAAAAAACTTGCATATTTATATCATTTTAAAATAAAAAGTGATCTTCGAAGGTTTTTTATAGTTTGGTTTGTAATTGCATAATGTCACAATATATTGATCTGTAAAACTAGACAATTTTTCTCAAAAATGGGAAAGTACATTTTCGTAAAAATGCCATAACTTTTAAATAATATAAACTCTGGCATTCAAAAAGAGGTCGTGATATTTTATTTATATAAAAAATTATCGTTTTAAAGTATTCCGCAAAAACTTTGTGATTGAAAATGGAGAAAAGCACATTGAAAATTAATAATATCTGAAATTTAAAATTCCCGAATTTTTATGAAAATGTTAACTTAGAAGAATGTGAAAAAGAGTTCATAACACTCAGTAAGTGCATCAATTTCCAGTTGAAGAATTATTATTTTGGGGTGCTATTCATAAATATCAGGGATTGGTCACTAACAAATTTCCTAAATTAAATTTAAAAGGGCAGAAATTCACATGGGATGGGCGGAAGAATGCTTTTAAATTTATTTGAATCTCAAGCAAATTTTAACTGGCAAAATCTCATCAGCGATCGTGGGTATTAAATGCTATTTCCGATGACTAGAATTATTTCGCAATTCAATGATTTTACAAAGTATAAACAGAAATCACATCTTTTAACCATAAATAATATAATCACGGGCAAGTCTAAAAGATTCAAGATGAAACAATTTATTGTTGAAAATTTTCGAGGTGATAGACTTTCAGATAGTATTATTAAAAATTAGATGTTTGTAACATTTGATTAAGCGAGTATTCGGTTAAACAGAGAGTATTTCATTTTGTTGAGAAAAAATAATCATTTGTTATTTCTTGTAGCTTAAGAAACCTTGTAGCTAGAAGTAGGCGAGACACCAGAAATTCACCGAAGATCATAGAAGTAAAATTTTGCCCCATAAACTGTGAAGATCAGCCCCGGCTAGAACACACGCGAAAGCGGTACGAGGGTCTACCACACCGCTTTCCTCTTAAAAAATATAAATTTTGTGAAATGCAAACTGTAAATACTGTATCATAAACGTATTGCAATAGCATATAATTTAAAATGAAAAGTACTGTCTATTCCATTGAAACTTACATAATATATAAATAGGTTGTGGATCGAGAAATATTTTTTTTTTTACTTTTTCTGAAGAGAAATGTTCTTATTCCGGAATTTCAAAATATTGTAAAGCATGTAATTAACATTTATAAGCTTAAAACACGATAACCTTTTCAAGTGTAAAATAAGAAATACTATTAATCGGAAAGAGAAAACAACCAGTTATTAAAAATTTCTGAACGAAGGCTTCAAATAAGTATCCTAAAAATTATGCGAACTCCGTCTAAATACACTGCACTAAAATACATGGTAAAAACAAAAAATACCTCGATGGAGAAATCAGTTTCAAAGTCTTTAGAAAAATTTATAACATTAATAAACAAAATCATAACAAAGATTTCTGGCTAAAAAGTATTCATAAATAGAATATTCATCGATTTTTGCTAAGAAATGTGCCTGAACGCAGAAAACATTTCAAAGACTTCGCTGAGTGCTATTGAAAAGGAGCTAAATGGAGGTACGTTATAGCTTTTGGTGAAATATGAGTTCATAGAAGTAACTGCAAAAAAGTTCCATTGTGTATTAAAAACTAGGAAAAAATACTGTAAGAATGTAGTTTCGACAAGCCTAATAAAGTTTCAGAAAGGAATTTGTGGTCGTTTTACAGTTCCTCCTACAATAAGAAAAATGGCAAATATAAATGTTAAGATCAACTAATTATGCTAATTTTAAAATGTTTTATGTTCAGTGTTTACAGAAAACATACATTTTCTACATTACAAAAGCTTTCAAAGAGTAAAACTGTACTAAGACAAAATTCCAGCTGGACTTTGAATGACGGCACTCTAAATTTGCGGCAAGCCGAAAGTCCTCTCTTGTGGTTTGGTGGAAGGGAAGAGGCGTGAGATACCCTCGGACCTGTTCTCTCGGGGTGCTCTAAATAAAAATTGGGGGCGAAACTGAGCTAAATCGCTCTGTAACCTGCATTGTGCTCAAGGCTGTTGCCAATGGCAGACATGTCTTGCGCTCCTTGCCACAGGGAATTTCGTGGGCTTGGGCTGATGTTACTGATAACCAAATCAGCATATTTAACAAAGTGAACACAAGCATGCGACATGCGACGGGGGACGTGGGCACCACCCCTTTACCGTCGGTTAATTGGTGTAGCGCCACGTCCACCAATATCTAGAGTTGAACCTTGAGTCTTTCAAAAGAGCTATTACATGGCCATACAAGGGCTGTTAATATTTAGTATTACATTCTTGTTTGCTGGTTAACATATTCTATGGATAGGTGATAACAGAGCAGAGTTACATACTGACTTTGTCTCTTCATTTCCGGCATACAATGCATATGCATTACCTGAATTACATTAATCTTACATTGTGTTGGATTACTTTTGTGTACAGTTACAGTTTTTAGCTGTACATTTCAATAAATATACCTACATTACTTGTAGATTGCATATAAATACAGTTTGCATGTACAGTTACATATGCCAATATTACATGTGCCCTTGCGTTACATTATTTTTATATACATACATAGTCAGGCACGCCTGCTTCACATATTACTTAATTTTACCTACACTGCTTAACCTGAGGTTACATATACTTGCAGTTGCATATAGATACATGCAGATACATTCTGATTAATTTTTTAGATACAAATATTTACAAATATAATAGTCTTACAGGTTACTTACATTACATGTTATTTGGGTACTTATTGCATAATTTTCCAGTACATGAGATAGACATTCCAATACATACATTGCTTTGCGTTAGACATCCTATATCCCTTATTCATAATACAAAACATATATGTTACCCATGCATTTTTATTAGACATTTCTGCATTTATATTGCATTACTTTAAATTGCATAACTTACTTATACATAGCTTACTGATACACAAAAATATTTACATATATTACACTCCCTTACATTACTTTGCTTACAGATATATGCACTTTCATACATTCGTTATGCCTACATTATATATCGGTTCATTATATATGGTCTTACGGTATAATTTGCCGAAATTTATTTACACAGTACATGCACATTGTTAAATGCAACTGACTTTCCAGGTATGAATACAGGCAGTCTTTATACTGTGAGTTTTCTAGTCTACATTATAGTTTCTTACAATTCACTTGAATGACAGTTTTCCTACATTGCAATATATTCCTTTTTAAAATGCTTAAGTTGTTTTCACATGCTGGGTTGTTCTATGGCTGACACAAGTCTGTATTTAAGTCGGACAGTCTGTCCATCAACTGTACCAGCTTTTTAATAAAGTGCCGCTGTTTTATCATATATTTACAGAACGGCTGGCGATTTGTTTCAGGGAGATTGATATGCAGTCCTTCTGTTAATGGGCATGACGTTAGATAGTGCTCTGGTGAGCCTGTGTCGCCGCATGCACATTGACTTGTGTGACTTATGCCACGCTTGAAGAAATATTCCGGGTAGGGCCCATGCCCGGAAATGAACCTTACCAACTGTGCGTTCGCTACATTTCGGCTAGTGTCCACATAGCCGATGAAGTAGTGGGTCCTTCTCCCTGTGGTGCTTTGGTCCCATTCGTTCTGCCACATGCCAGTAGCCCTTAGGCGTAGTGTCTTCTTTAAATACGAATGCGGCCATGGGATGATAATGGTGCATCAGGCGGGTCAGTTGTTGCCTCTTTGGCGAGTTGGTCGGCAAGTTCATTGCCATAGTGGCCAACATGAGCCTTTATCCACTCTAATTTTGTGCGGTACTGGGGGTTACTTCTAAGATCTCTCTGGATTCCCTGTATAATCTCCGAGGGATGATCAGCATTCCAAATGGCATATAACGATGATAAGCTGTCCGTTTTAATGGTGACATGGCTATGCTGGTGCGAGTGCAGGTAGCGAATCGCTTGTGCAATTGCCACTGCTTCGCTTTGAAAGACACTGTTATGTTGTCTTAACTGTCCCTTCGATTTCTCGATTGCGTTGTCTTGTTTCGTGGCGACATAGGCGCATCCCACTCTTTCGTCCAATCTAGACCCGTCTGTATAGATGGTCATTTCCCTTGAGTGATGAGTTGCAGTGGGATTAATTGAGATAAGTATCCCAGTGAACACAAGCAGCAACAACAACATGTTACTTTGAAAAATGAAGACCCTACTGTTGGCTTTCTCAAGATATTTGCTATACGGAGTATTTTGCATTCGGCGTGCTGAAAGGAGCTCTTTGTAAGCGTAAACGTTACGTGATTGACGAAATCTGAAAACAGGCCTTCGTAACAAATGTTTAAGCAACTAATATTTATTTAAAGGTCTTAAAATCGGTAAAAATATGTAATGCGCTCTCCATATTATTAATACGAAGCACATAGATTTACGTTTTATATACAATAAATGTTTCAAATCATGAATGAAATTTAGCTGGTAATCAGAATAACGTAAGAATAGCCAACAGCATAAGGTCATGTTAAAAATGTCTGCAGCGCAGTTTTTTATTCACACCACATTTTTGTTAGCTCAAAATAGTTACTTTTTTTGCTTGATTGAACTGTATCTTGCGTCGTCCACAATAAGCCGCGAATCACTTTTCAAGTTCTTGCCAGCAAATTTGATCACCCTATATTATCTTTAAATAAACTAAATTATGAAGAATCTGCATGTATGAATCTATGTTCTTCACATTCTGAAAAACGAACGGTACTCAGGGTCATTAAATTTTGAATAACATTGTTCTCCACCCGAACATGGGCACCTGGAAGCCAGAAGTTTGAATTTCGAATTATTTTATTACCTATTTAATATTTTGAAAACTTTTAATGGGTTTTTGATTAACAAACTCAACGATTTGAAAGCGTAGAGTGGCAAGGCATTACGGAATAAAACATTTTTATCTCCAGCGCGCGAGACTGTCTGTTGGAAATTCTAAAGTTATGCTGTATTTAAGTATTTTGCTTTTAAATTCAAGTTTATGTGACGAAAGTGTAAAGAACGGGATATCTATTAAGTAAAGTTAACACACAAATCGTTATTAATAAAAAGACACGCACACGCACAAATTTTGAAAGCCATGTTACTAAGAAAACTGAACATTGATATGATAAACTGAGAAAAGACAAAAAATAGAAAAACGTATGCATCAGGAATTCTAAATATATGCTGCGTTTAAATTTTTTGTAATTTTATTGTTGAATCATGCATAGCGTAAGTGCGAAGAAAATAGCGCTTAATATTAAAGCCAGCATGAGTAAGTGTAACAGGAGCCTGTAGCAAAAAGCGCTTAACAAAGCCTTTTTTGCGATGGTTAAAATCTGAACTCTTTCAGACTTTTTTTCATTTTTTTATTTCATATTTTTATGACTGTATATTTAACATAACTAATGTAAGTATGTATGAAGAAACTTTAATGTCGTCGTTAAAGAATCAACATTATGGAATATTTTGTAAATAAATGTGTAATTCTTAGCTGTTGGAACGCTCATTAAACTCACAGACGCTGATTCATCTATAATTTCAATCGTCTGGTAGCTCATTTTTTTTTCATTCTCTTCGGAATTCCTTGTTGTTTAACAATACTTGCGTCTAAAAATCGATAGTTTCGGAAGAAGAAGTTTTATTTATCGTACACTGGTATCGTTCTTTGCTTTCAAAGAGGAGTTTAATTTTTTTTTCAGTATTTTGCCAACACTTTTTATCGCCTGATGTTTTTCGATGATATTTTGTCGCTTTATTTTCTCTTCACGGGTTGACTTCCCCTCGCAGCACTGTTGATGAGCCAGATAAGAGTGCTAAAATTCCTTTCTCGAGTGAGTGGGAAAGTAAACCCTAACAAAAGTACTAACGCGATGAATGAGGCCGGAAGCACTTTGAAATAGCTTCTCTTGCATTATATTCACTCTTTCCTTCTAGTGCTGTTGTTCTTAATAGTCTGAGTTTCCTAGTTTCTTCTTTTTATTAATTGTTTATTCCAGACAACTATTCTAGTATTTCGTTCTGTTCTTAAGCAAGAAACTTAAAGATAAAAAACTGGGGCGGGGAAAGAAAGAAATGAAAATTTGAAGAGTTTCAGATGTTAACGATTGCCCAAAAGGGATTGTTAAGGTTTTTTTATGCTCTCGCTCACCTTGCATTCTACCAGTTTACTACTGCACTCACTCCTGCCAATCCACTCCTTTTCGTCTTTTTAGCTTTAAGTTTAATCATAGTTTTCTTCGCATTTATTCCATATACAATTCAACAGCAAAATTACAAGCATTTTAAAAGCAGCATAACAGCATTCCCGATGTAATGTTGGTTTTGACATATATTTTTCAATTTTTTTAAAATCTTTTCTCAATTTATCATACTAGCGTTCAGTTTTCGTAGTAAAATTATTTACAAAATATTTATTTTTGAATTTTTATCAGTAACATTTCGTGTGTTAAGTTTATGAATCGAATATCACGTTTTTTGAACTTACACCTCATAAAATTTAATTCAACAGCAAAGTCACAAAATGTTTAAAAACATCACATTTTAAAATTTTTAATAGACAAAAAAATGTTTCACTCCATACGATGCTGCCACTGCTCGCTTTTAAATCGTTGAGTTTGTTAATCAAAAAGTCATTAAAGGTTTTCAAAATATGATACATAAAATTCGAAATTCAAAATTCGGGCTTCCCGGTTTCACATGTTCGGGTGGAAGACTACGTTATCAAAAATTTAGTGGCACTAGTTACTGTCTTTTTTCATATTGTGAGGAACATACCTATATTTATGCACATTCTAATTTATTTAATTTCTTTTAAAATATACAGAGCGATAATATTTGGTTCCAGCAATTTGAAAGTGATTCACCCTTTAACAGTGATTTAACGTAAAATCCCGTTTCGAGTATATTAGTTCATTCTTGCGAACGCCCTTTTGAGCTAATAGAATCAAGATATTTTAAATGAAGATAAACTCAGTTGTACAGATAAACTCAGCATTTACTTACAGTTTAGAGTATGATATGCAAGGCTATGAAAGGCAATCAGAATAGTCCTTAATAACGCATGAAAGATACAACGCTAAAAAAGAAACCTTTTTTTCTGCAAAGCCATTTAAAAGATTTTCAAAGATCTTACAGTTTTCCATTACAAGTTTGGATGTATGCCGAACTAATTTGTTTGGGGGGCCTGAGACATTTTACAAAAGATACATTTTATATATTTAGTAACAATAATAATCCGATACAGGTTCAATACTTATTACATAACCAGTATGCACCTATGTTCAAAATTGAATGCTTCTAGAGTAACTCAACTTTATTAACCATGTAGTCACCTTCAAACTAATAGCCATCAGAACACGTAACTTTGCTGTGATGTTACTGCCATTCCTGGAATGGGAGAGGCCTTTTTTTTATAACTTTCATAGTCTTTAGCGTATACCGCCAAAAAGCATTTATCTATTAGGATCATCTTAATAAGAGAAAGCAGCATGGTAGGAAACTTAAATCTAGCAATTTAAACTTGTTGTAGCATGTCAAGATCTTGTTTCGAATAAAAAGAATTCAAGCATCTTTGCTGTAATGTTCATTGCTCAAAACGCCGTTTGATCGAAAGATTATTCAACTTCATTTGCCATGCAACACGAACTACCGTGCTGCTCATTATGTCTCTACTGTCTTTCTCCTAGGCTAACGAGGTATGACAGCCAAATTTACGCATGTGTCACGTTTGAATTATTCATGTGCTATGACATTTATAATTTTCTGAAAAGTGTAGGACATCAGTTTTTTTCTTTTATAAAAATTCATCAGTACACGTTAATATTTTACAGCTAGGTCTGGTGAGTATGGCAGCTAGAGGAAAATTTCCAGTCTAATTCTCTAATCTTCACGCTATGTCCTTTACTCCAAATGCGTTGTTGCTATGTCTTGAGAAGTAATGTAACGTAATGTAATATACAAGTTTGCTGCAACCTTCCTGTCTGATAATTATCAGCGTCATGGTTAACTCAGCATAACCAAAACAGACAAACAAAAATACAGTTAAAAGTGCAGAGACATTACGTATTTTTGGAAGCAGGCAAGATGAAAAATTAGCAAAGCCTTCTCCGGGAATCGAACCGCAGACCTCTGAAATACGCGCCTAGCGTGCAGTCCACCATACCACGAAGGCATGCCAAGAAGGTGGGATAAATACCTTGTATACTCCCCTTTTAAAGGTAGACTGGGGTTTTTAGGGGCCACTGTAAGATTTATCTTAATTTTTCTAACAGTTAATTTTAGTTAAAAGTTACTTTCCTATCTTCCTTAATTTTAGCTTACAACTTCCGTCCACAACGCGTTTTCAGAATCGCGTTTAAATGCAAATGAGGAGAAGTAATTATCTAGGAAGTTCTACTGACTTCGTTAAAAAGCCAAAGATTCTGACTAGCGTGCGTTCGCTTTTTAGGCTACTCTCTCTCTTAAGCTATTTTTTCGCTCGGCCGTACTTAAGGCCCTTGATAGCTTCACCGTTAGTTAGCCTTAAAGGGCCGTTCACACTTGATAATCAACGACGATATCGGAGCTAAACGGTGCACGGAACACGGCTCTACCTAACGTAGCTCGTTCACACTTACTATAAGCGTCCACTAGCGACAGCCAATAAGCGAGTAGAAGATCGCGCGCGCTTTCGTTTGTTTACATTTCGTAGCAGTCTTCCGCCGTGAATCTTCGAGCGAAAGAGCGAATTGAAAAAAAAAAAAAAAAAAAAATGATTCGATCGAAACGTATGGTGAGCAGAAAACAACGAAAATGTTTTTTTTTTTTTTCGGAGTTTTCTTCTTGCAGCATATGTATTATATTACTTTTAAATAATTTAAAGATATTAAGACTTTAGTAAAAAAGCCACGAAGTGTAACTTTAGTAAAAAAGCCACGAGTGGGTGAAATCCACTTACCAGCAGAGAGCAATTCATAGACATCATTCTGATTGGCTATCTCGTACAATTTTCATTGAATGTAACAATAATATAGTTATGGTATAGTAGCATTTCCCAAAATTCCAAATTTTAATATACAGTTTTGTTGTAATCCATGTTTATCATGTTTTTT